AATTCTATAATCATTTTGTTTAGTTATGTAAATAAATTTAACACGACTTGTACTGTTTATCTGAGTGAAAGGAGAGCTGCGGGTTTTCCCTTTCCTTTATTTAGATTTTCAAATATGACCGCTTAACAAAAATGCACGGGCTCACTGGCTTACAACCTTGGCGAATTCATATGCAGGCCTGGTCGCAAATCAATCACCCAGGTCGCATCTTACAAATATCATGACTACAAATTCCAGACTGAGAGAGGAAGAAAAAAGAATGAATCAAAGGCACCTGATGTCATTTGTTGACCGTATAAATACTTCAAATCTCTAATCTTTTTACCCAGAGTACACTGCGGTACTCTTTTATATAGGCTACTGTTCTATGCAGCAAAATAGTGCATTTCGTAACTCACATAACTACTAAATATTTCGATAGTAAAATGGAACTCAAGGAATATGGCTACAAGTAAAACTGGCTTTTCCATGAAAGAATCACTCACGTTTATATTCCTTCAATGGAAAAATCGCGCGCTTTAAAGGTTGTAAATTTGATGTAAACGATTTACAGAATTTTGGACACTTACATCGTATTTACATCAAATTTACAACCTTTAAAGCGCGCATTTTTTTACAGTGTTGCTGTAACATCATGTGTCATTTAGTTTAATATGCATTATGACCTCGATTACTTCCTTCTAGAGCTGTGCATAAGAAGTTAACCTTAATCAGCATTTGAAACTCTAAATAAGGGGTCGTTTACACAGGACTAAATGATTCTTTACGAAAACAAACGAGCTAGCSTACCTGATCTATTATAAACAACCTACATCAGGTACACATACATGTCTTAGATGAGAAAACAAAATTTTAATACCCAGAACTGTTCTCTAATTGCAAACGCCCATTTTTGCCATTGTAGGCCAGCAGTTAAGTAAAGTTCTGATAACGACGCGTAGCTCGGTAGAAGTATGTTCTCCTCTAAGAATTACGCGATCTTTTCGGTTTTGCTTATCTTAGSCGTATYACCAAGTGAAACCTAYCGAAAGGGCGATCACGAGCTACAGCGCACATATGAAGAYGGCCATTCTGGAGAGATTACCATAACWACGAGGTTTCCGTTTTTCAGCAAAACGTTTGACTCGTTGTATGTAAGTAWAAGAACTCCTCATCTTTTACATTCTGTCTGTTTTGTTGCAAGTCCTAGAATCTCAGTAGTTTTCCTTGGATATCCCACTGATGTAATGATGGGCGTAACTAAAATTATACTTCCGTGTCCCATAGCGATCTTCCATTATGCTAAAAGTCGACTTCAAATCAAATATATAGCACTGAAACATTAATAGTTCTGGGAAAGTAATAGTAGTTAGAACTGGTCCAAACGTCGGTACAAAAAAACATTAGCAATATACTGCTCAGTTGATATAAAATTTCATTTTACCACGGCATGATGAATTGGGTGCGGCGAATTTAAGATAATCAATTTTAAGGAAATGTGCCCACTTGCCTATCCTCATTTCCCAGAATACCTTGGTAACTTTTTAGTGATACAATAAACCCTTTTAGCGATCTCTTTTACGGTGTGTTAGCCTCAAAACCATGTAATAAATTTTATTCACAACAGCCTGTGCAAATGCAAGAGATTCGTGAGTATAGAAGACAATGGGAATAGTTTGAAATCTCACGAGTTTTATCTACATTTCTGAATATTTTAGCACACAATTGAGGCTAACACAGTGTAAAAGAGATCGCGAAACTCCACTATTCTCAAATTTCTAAAGCATTTCTTTTAAAAATCGACAAAATTTGCAGTTAAACGGCTAAAAATTTAATAATAATTCTTAAATGCGTTTCCTAACGAGAAGAAAAACCAAGAAAAATTATGGTCATGCTTCATTTGAAAGTCTTTCGGTCGATTTGGTGATGCCTGATTAATATTTGTTCAAACTGAGTTGTTGGACCCGGAAACTTGAATTCGGACACTTACAGCCATTGGTTCCTTTTAATTTTTTTCTTAACTGACGCATGATTATCAAGATCTATATTACATTCTGATTTAATGTGCTCAATGTTTCGAATTTTTAAACAGAATATTTTGCCTATTAATTGCCGACCAAATCATCCAGGCCAGTTGGATAAAAGCATTGGATAAACGTTTCAATTTGACTACCTAGGAATTTAAGCAGGATATCGTCGGGATTACAATAGATTTACTCTCAAGTATTGTATTCCAAAAGATTAGAACTCTTTTGAATATCTGAACGTAATTTGAAATAAACTCCTGTGCTTATAATTGTTTAGGTCTTAAATAACAGATTATCATTCATCGTTAATTTCATTTGTTTGTTCATGTTTGCCTACCATTGATCTTTTATWATAGCAAAGTAGCGCSTCTTATCAAAAACCCGTCGTGCAGATATTTCAAAAGTCTTTACTGAATAATGTACAGGAGATATAGAAGAAGTATATAAACTGCGCATGGTTTTTCCTTGTACAAAATGTTCGCATCTCAAGTTGGACCCCGAGCGCAACAAGATAATTTTTCCTTCAATTCCGACGTCTGCACTCTTTTTTTGTATACTGCCTGATTCGGACTTTTGGAAATATTCATAGATTTCTTGCGATTTAAGTTTTTTTATAATCACCAAATATGGATGATCATGTCCCTCTATATATAAAGCTGGTCTAAAATATGTAAATCCTCCCCAAATCACACACACATACAATAACCTGCCGACAAATTCAATTGACTCTGGTGGATGAGTACCTTTTCACTCTTTCAGTTCTTGCACTAAGATCTCTTACTAACATTACAACTAGTATTGGGCCTTTTTCTGGTCTGGTTACACTATGTAGCAGATTTACCCGGTACGATTGTCTCGTGCGACTTGTAGTATACGATCGATTTTCCTACGTGGTTCAAAGATCCTGCTACAAGTCGTAGGTTGCGTACATGTGCACGGCGCGATTAATTGAGTCGTATACTACCAGTCACGCGATAATAGGATCGTGTAAATCGGCATTGAAAAAAGCTGACAATCGCTTTTCTTTGTTCACATTTTTTTTTCTTTTTACTTTCAATATTTTTAGGTAAACGCAAATGGTGTTGTGTCTTTTAACGTGACGGTCACGCAGTTCACACCAAGTCGTTTTCCTCTACGTGATGGACGTACWATGATTGCTCCTTTCTGGGCGGATGTGGACATTCGAAAGACGGGTAATGTGTTTTATGGCGAATGTACAAACAAAGACACGTGCTTGAAAGAAGCTACAGAAGACGTGAAAAAAGCATTTCCAGGGCAGTTCACAAACTTCGCAGCAACATGGACTTTTGTGACAACTTGGGAAAAAGTACCGTTTCTTGGAAAACCGGATTCTAAGGTATTTTAATAAACGAGTATTCGCTATAAATCCGTGAAAATACAAACACTTTGTATTACATAAGAATCAATTGAACAATAATATTATATAATCCACAGCGTTAACAATTGTTCCATTATTATTATTTCAGCCAAATGCAGTTAACACGTTTCAATCA